AGCCGCAGTGGCTCGCGGTCGGCGAGTGAGAGGCAGCGCTCCACTCCGAGGACAGGAGCCACCGTCTGCTCGACACGCTGACGCGCCGCTGCGGAGTCGGTGAGGAACAGAAAGGGAGAGTGAGAGGGGGAAAGAACGAGAGAGGAATAGGTTTTAAAACACACCGGATGTCAACAAGAGTCATGGTGCTGTGCGACATCTCTGCTTTAAGCCATTCCATCTCTGTGCTGTTTCGCGTGACCATTCGAAAATGGAGGGAACATCGGTCGAGATGGTTGACAGCGTAATCGAAAGGCACATCGTGACCGCACTTTGTGTGTGTGTGTGTGGGCACTTGTGTTGTCTTCCGCTGATTTTATTTTTGCGCGTTCTTCATTGCCTTATGGGTGTGGTGGTAGAAGAGCTACAAATAGCGGTAGTGCAATCGGCGCCTCAATTTCTTCTTTTCTTTTCGTTTTTATGAAGGGGTCTGATCGTGATTGTGTGTTGACGCTTTTTTTCTTTGCTTTGTTTCTGTCATTTGTGTGTAAGTCTGTGGTTGTGGTGGCCCCTGCGGGGGTGTGTGTGTGTGTGTGTGTGTGGGTGGGTGGGCGCCAGCGGCGTTGGGATTCTGCTTTGTGCTCGCTTGTGCGTTTCCACCACCACGAGTTACCGCCTGTGGCAGCTGCAGCTGGGTGCTGCCGTGATGGCCACCGGCGCCGCCACCTGGCGACGACGACAACCACAACAACCACGATGAGGCGCACAGAACAGAAAGAAAAAGGGGGCTGCGGGCGAGGCAGAGACAAAGAGAGCGTGGAACCAGCAGGAAGAAAAACGAAGAGGAAAAAAAAAAAAGAGAGTGCATATGAGAGGAAACAGCAACGGCAAAGAAAATGAAATCTCAAGACAAGAAGAAGCAAAAAACAAAAAAAAAACCAAACAAAAACATAATACAGACAAGGAAACGAAAAGAAGCAAACAAACCAATAAATCTGAGGGACATCATTTTTGTTTTGGATTATAAGCGCATCCATCTCCTGTTTCCTCGCACGAGTGTGACGAGACAACAAGATCACTGATTCTGCAAGTGTTGCCTTGCTGCACATATACGTACTGCTATTATATATACTGACATACACATCTATATATATATTTATATATATATATGTGTGTGTGTGTGTGTGTGTGTGTGGCGACGGAGAGGAGACAAGGGACACGCAACATCTGCAAGGCATACTTGCAGAGGAGTGAGGAGGAGAGAGGCAAAAAAAATATGGAGGCAACCGGTACTAAAAAAAAAAAAA